TTATGAAGATGTAGAAAACATGTTAACTGGTTTATGGTAAACACACACACACACAAACACGCAAGCGCTTGCAAACATGCACATTTGCGCACACGCACAAACTCATACACACACTCACACGCGCACACTGCCGCACACACACAAACAACAGTGCACACACGCTTATATGCACACACACACACATTCTCACACGCACACGCATACACACACACGTACACATAAGCACACGCACACATATGCACACACAAACACACACACATACACACACTCACACACACATACGCGCGCGCGCAAACACGAGCAGACAACCGCACAAACACACGCACACTGCCGCACACACTCGCGCACATGCACACACACACCACACACACATGCGCACACGCACACGCATACACACACACATACGCACACGCACACACATGCACACACAAACACACACACATACTCACACTCACACAAACATACGCGCGCGCGCAAATACAAGCAGACAACCGCACAAACACACGCACACTGCCGCACACACACGCGCACACATGCGTTCACACGAACACACATCAACTCATATACACCCACACGCACGCGCACACACAAACTCACACACCCACATGCGCAAGAATATGCTCACATCCGCCCGCGTGCACACACCCACCCACACACACATACACATACACACACACACACACATACACACACACACACACACACACACACACACACACACACTAACGCACGCTTGCGCGCACACATAGACACACACACACATAGACACACATACACACACACACACACACACACACACACACACACACACACACACACACACGTACATACACAAACACGCACTCAGGCGAATACCTTGTCGCCGTTGTCGCCACTTCCGCTACAAGAAGGGGCGTTGTCGATTATTCGTTAAAAAAGTCGTTTATTTCGACCATAAGGATCATAGATGTTAGTAATAATACAAATCTTAAAACTAATTTTAGTTAAACTTGAAACTATTTACTTAATTATAAAACTATTTATTTAAAAGTATATCTAAGACAGGTCCGATTAGTCAGCACATGCACCATATGACAATGGTTCAAGTACTGACCTCAAACTTGTCAGAAAATGCCCTCAGGATACCATTAGAACTGGCCCGCACCCTGCGCACCAGGGATGTGCATCGTTTACGCATGGTGGTGTAGAAACAATCCACACGCGCATCCGCAAACAAACCCGGCGCATTACAATAACGAGGCAGACCTAACAGCACCCTGAATGCATTATTGTATTGAACACGCATTTAATCTGTAGCTTGTACCGCCAAAGATACGAAACGGCAACGTCGCGGCCGCGTTCCACCAATCCGATCGTTTATCTTATCATTTTCTGTGCTCTGATTGGCTCACTTAAATCGGATCAACATTTTCCGTAACCATCGCAAGGTGGATTTGTATATCGGATCAACTTTGGCAAACGCTAGCAAACAGTCTCGTGAGTGCAGATGTTGATCCGGTCGGAGCCACATTAATTAGCAGAGATGCATATTGCATCAACAAAAGGCGCCGGATCAACATGCGTTTTCGGATCAACAAAGTGCTCGCGTGAAGTCGCGTCTGATCAACATTTACCGTAAAATAAGGCATTCAGGGTGCTGTTGGGTCTGCCTCGTTATTATAATGCGCCGGGTTTGTTTGCGGATGCACGTGTGGATTGTTTCTACACCACCATGCGTAAACGATGCACATCCCTGGTGCGCAGGGTGCGGGCCAGTTCTAATGGTATCCTGAGGGCATTTTCTGACAGGTTTGAGGTCAGTACCTGAACCATTGTCATATGGTGCACGTGCTGACTAATCGGACCAGTCTTAGATATAGTTTTAAATAAATAGTTTTAAAATTAGGTAAATAGTTTCAAGTTTAACTAAAATTAGTTTTAAGATTTGTATTATTACTAACATCCATGATCCTTATGGTCGAAATAAACGACTTTTTTAACGAATAACTCGACAACGCCCCTTCTTGTAGCGGAAGTGGCGGCAACGGCGACAAGGTATTCGCCTGAGTGCGTGTTTGTGTGTGTGTGTGTGTGTGTGTGTGTGTGTGTGTGTGCGCGTGGATTTGAGCATGTGCTTGCGCATGTGGGTATGTGAGTTTGTGTGTGTTCGTGTGAACGCAGGTGTGTGTGCGGCAGTGTGCGCGCGCGCTGTGTGTGTGTGTGCGGCAGTGTCCGCGTGTGAGTGTGTATATGAGTTTGTGCGTGTGCGCATGTGTGCATGTTTGTACGCGCTTGCGTGTTTGTGTGTGTGCGTTTACCATAAACCAGTTAACATGTTTTCTACATCTTCATAATCAAGATTTTTAAGGACGCGTTTACAAAATTGATAGGTATAGAATAGAACTATTACATGAGATATTATCATGAGACACTACCTCCGGTCTTGATGGAGTGACCTCAAAATGTAATTCGGGATTACTACTGGAGCTCTTGGACTAGTAGAACTGGGTGTGCCGAGTTTGGGCTCGTTTTGTTAGTTATGATGAGTCCTTACCTCCGGACTTGCTGAAGTGACCTAAAGGTGTACTTCGGTAACTAATACTGTAACACCTGGACTAGTAGAACTAGGCACGCCGAGTTTGGGTTTGTTTTGTTAGTTATGATGAAACCGTCTCAAAACAAAAGTTCTTTTCACTTTGTCTCTTGTACCAATAGGTAGCCAAGTTGATTTTCGGAAAAATGGATAACCTCGTAGTAACATCTTTATGGGCAGTATCGATATCTACTTACCAGCCACATTGTTTTTCGCTCTAACCAACTGTCCTTTATGTGAGCCTCACTTGCCCTCACGTGGTACCCACTTTACTGCACTCCAGTGCACCCACCACCACATCTGCCACCTACGCCTCCACATCTACCACCGCACCCCTCTCTAAGCCTTCGTTCTCCACCTCCGCCTCCACTATTAACTCTGCTCCCTTCGCCTCAACAATAAATTCCGCTCCCTCCGCCGCCACCACCACGCGCCGTCACAATTCTTTCCGCCTCCAACACAAACTATGATCGACCCACTTCTGACCCCGCTCTCCCCGTTTCCACTATCTCCGACTTCACCACAAATTTCTTTCCTCCGCCTTCACCACAAACTACGCTGCATTCACGTCTGCCTCAACCACGTCTCCATTCTCCGCTTCCGTTTTCTGCGCACATACACACACAAACACGCACTCAGACGAACACACCTGCACGCACGCACATGCCCGCGCATACACACACGCGCGTTCGCGCGCACTCACATAAACACACGCGCACACACACACGTACACCTACACACACACACACCACACACACACACACACACACACACACACAACAAACACACGCGCGCGCGCACACACACACACACACACACACACATACGCGCTCGCTCGCACACACAAACCCGCGTGCGCGCACGAATGAAACACACATACACACACAAGCTCATACCACACACACACACACACACACACACACACACACACACTTGAACGACCGAACATACACATAACGCACAAGCACACACACACATACGCACACACAACAAACACACGCTAAACCGTGGACACACGCACGCAAACAAACACGCAAACACACACATACACACACGCACACACACTCGCATGCATGCATCGGCACACACTCGTACGCACACACAAAAGCAAACACACGCTAAACCGCACACGCACGCGCGCACACACACACACACACACACACACACACACACACACACACACACACACACACACACACACACACACGTGCACACACACACACACACACACACGTACACACACACACACACACACACACGCACACGCTACACACACACGTACTCAAAAAACGCAACAGTGCACACACGCACACATACACTGACATACACGCGCGTTCACATGCGTTCACATGAACACACATGAACGCACATACACCCACACGCACGCGCACATACAAACTCCCATAAACCCACACACACACACGTAAACACACGCGCGCGCACTAAATTGCACCCCCCCCCCCACCCTTACACATACACACATACTCGAGTGATAAATTAATTTGTAATAAAGTACTATCCATCATCTTCTAATTGATCTATGACAACAACAAACAAGACAACAAAATAACACAAATTCACTCACACGATAACAAAAACTCGAACAAACCTCTTTCCACAATAAAACCTGCCAAAGTTTGATCTACAAAATCAGCAGATAACGTATTTTCTTACCTTATTACTATAACGAAGTAGCCTACTGGGTTCTCACACAGAACGCGACGTTGCCGCTTCGTGTTCGAATACCTATTCGTCAATATACTCTGGATCTAAAAAATCATGTTCAGTATGATTTTTTCGACCGTTGATAGATCAACAAATGTTGGTCAAATTGCTGACGAGTATATTGAAATCCTGTTAGTGCAGATCCACCGACGTCACACGCGCATCAAGAATGGATCAAAGTATATCAGTTTGTGCGACGAGGAGCTGAGCAAACACGTCAAATAGGTGGATCAACAATTGTTCTAACTTCTCACTGGATCAACATTTACCGTGAAAGGATGATTATATATATATATATATATATATATATATATATATATATAATATATATATATATAGATATATATAATTGTATTTATTATAGAAATGCCTTATATTGAGCTGAGGGGGGTTATATGCATGTTATTAAGACACAAATAACCATTTTTAAAATTTCAGTCTGTTTGTTCAGACTAATTTTCGGAATCGCTGAACCGAGGCTATATTTTATCTCAAACGGCCTTTCATTATCTTATATCTAAATAACTAAAGATCGTGTCTAGATCATAGCGGGTCGCTAGTAATTTATAAATTTACAGTAATAAAAAAGATGTTATAATTCTGATTCACTTTTCTTCTGTGATGTTAAAATTCTTGTAATTTTTTTTTCTGTATTTTATAAAACATATATTAAAATTTTAATTTTAATGTTTTTATTTTTCAGAGATTGAAACTATTATCTATATCAGAAACTTTGAATGTAAACGAAGCAGGTAGCAGTAGTGAAATGCCCGATACGTCGGCACACTCTAGCAAAGCAATTGAAGTTCCAAGGGCCAGGAATAACAATAAATACTCTAGTTTAATGGTGAATATCTATTTATAAATAGTAATTATCCAATGATTGGACACTTAATCAATTCGTAAGCTGTTTTAATTATTTTTAAAATTATATCAATGAAATTTTACCTTTTATAAGGATTGTACTTATTAAAGATTTTACTAACAATACGAGTTAAGGAGTTATGGCAGAAAAATATCTAATGGGCTGAATTTATTGAGTTGCACAGCATATGTCGTATTTCCCATTTCATGCTAATGCTATGCAAATGCTGGTCATCCAATAGGTCGCTATCCAGACTGACTGACTGAGCAGATCAGGCTCGGCGATTTTGGCATTTGTTCCTACACTGGCCCATATCCAGCTGTTACGACAGAGGATCAACCTACCATCGCGATGAAACCCCAATGGAGTTCCGTTTTATATTAAAATGTTCACACATTTATTAAAAAAAATATTTTTAATGATTTCTTAAATTTACGCGAACACTACACATTGAATAAAACTATATTTACGGATTTTATCGCGTTTAATTAACTTATTTTTAATTTTCGACGTTTTGGGTGCTTTACACAACCCATGGTCACGGGGGGAGGGGACTGAGATGTTTGATGTCCCAATGTCATATATAGTTAGCCCGGCTACGTTCAGTTTTTGAATATTAATTTTTAGACCAATTTACGCAGAACAAGCTCACAGTATCTTGTAGTCTTGCAGTGGTATGCTTGGGTTTAGGTTTAATTTTGTTAATTATAGGATCCCAAGCAGATGGCAGCACCCATCCATCTTACTTACGTATCATCATCGTTACAGCCATTTGTAAGTCCACTGCTTGACATAGGCCTCCACCAAGGAATGCCACAGCACGGTCTTGAGTCACCTGCGTCCATCGACTTCCTCCATGTCTTACCAGGTCATCACACCATCTAGTAGGGGGGTCGCCCTACCTTATCGCTACGAGGCTCATCAGGCCACTCGAGAACCTTTTTTCTTAAATATGTATTCGACTTCAATATCTATACATTACTGCCATATCGAGGGAAGGTCTATGAGTAATTTTGTACTGTTTCCTGAGAACAAAATGTTTTTCTCATAATCCACAAATTCAAAACAAAGTAGCAAAATGAAATCTCCGGTCTTCTATTTAGTTTGCGGAAAAGTATGTATGTGGTCTATGGTACTAAATCCTTCTGAAATCATTTTATGCAAGAGGCTAGAAGTCGTTAATTCTGCATATGAGACAATTTGTAATGACTTGAAAACAGCACATAGGCACACTCAAAAGGCAAATTGGTCTATAGTTATTCAATAGAGCTTTGTCGCCTTTCTTGAAGGAAAATACCACTGTACTTCTGCTCCACAACTCCGGTGTAGTGCCACTATGAAATCAAAGAGATTCCGCAGGACTAAGCATTGGTTTTTATCCGCTGTAAGTCTATCCTCGACCAGGGCTAGGTTTTTTTTAAAGATTCTAGAGAGCCATTCTTATCTCGCTCATACTGATGTTGAAAGTTTGCTTTATATACAAACTAACAAATTTTATGAATTACGGCGGGCACTTTCCGACCACTAGTATAAATAAAATAATGTAACAATTTACAGGATTTTCCATTCGCTGATGGCAGTCCGATAGCTGAGTTAGCAAACTTTTACCAAGAATGTCTTCAAGCCCGATCTGCAACTGATGAGTGGACAGACATAGCGGATGTTTCTGTATCCACTGACTCTGAGTCCCTTGCACAGCAGTTAAAGATGTTTGAAGAGGCGGTACCAGAGTTCGACAGTATGGTTGCATCCATGTTTAGTAACTCAGAACAGGGATCTGATCACTCCTAAAAATTTAGTACAAGTTTGAGACAGTTAACTATAAATAGACTGTATGTTTGTTATGCCTTTATTCAGGGTCAGATTTAGTCTGATATCGATATTATGTCTATTTGCTGTTAAATATATATATATAAAGAAATATGAAATGTTACATAAATGTTTACAGTAAATAATTTGAATTTGTGTTTTGTTTAAAAATGGGTAGCGTGGGACTAAATACTTTTAAAAATCCTAAATAGCATAATTATTATGGATTAATTCCTTACCTTGTTATAATTATTTTAACTTTTGAATTTATGTGATACTTCATTTCTCAGTAACGAGCCAAAAGAAATAAATTTTGTTTTATAGTCAACCAAATCTTAGAAATACATTTTGACAGCTGTCAGACTTATTGCATCAAGCATGCCAACCCAAAATGGAAACGTACAATATTCGATTCTTAAAAAAATCGATATCGATTATTTAGAATTAGTAATCATTTATAATTTAGTTAGAATGATACCAGAATAAATTAAAAACGGATAATTTATAACACAAGATTTATCAGTTTCTTCATATTTGTTGTAACTGCTTATTTCTAGGGGCACATTTATAAAAAAATTAGATTAAAACTACACAGTACAACTACTTGAATTATTGTTGTAAGATCCCGAAATAGCGGGAGATTGAAATTACGTAGTGGTTTTTTCTGCGCGGCCTTATATAAGAGTTTTTTTGCCTACAGAAAGAACAATGGCGAAATAATAGATGATGGAATTATTAAGCGTCTACTTAAGTCAACATTACAGATATCAATAAAATAATTTACTATGTATCTAATCAAGCTTATGGGCTATAGAAAAAAATAATCATACAAATTTCTAAACTTAACGAACACAACTACAACAACTAACGATTTGCCTGTTTAAGGCGTTTTGTATCATCATACAGCCTAGTCTGATGTGTATTTTGTTTAAACTGGAATATATCTAATTCCTGACTTCCTGCAGTAGTACAAAGAAAAATATGTTCAGGATTTTAAACTATATTTTTACATATTTTGCATTTGTAGACGCAAGAAAAAAGTCAACTAAAATTTATTTGGGAGTTCGCCATTGTCCTTTACATTGACAAAGTAAAAAAAAATAAACTTCTTTTATTCATGTTTCGTGTAATTTAAGGAATTTTAAAAATAAAAATTTAATTAAACAAATAATGCATTAAAAATTAATGATTTGATTATTTGAATATTTTTAACGATTAATTGAATCTTTTTGCCGATTATACGCATATCAATGAATTTTAATCATCCAAACACTACACTAAGGCACATAGCGACTTATCATTAAAACGACGTCAAGTAAAAAAGTTGATACTGGCTATTTTTTTTAATATTTTGCTTTGTTGGAAAGACTCGAATTTAAATTAGCTATAAAAAACTAAACACGTTGTAATTAAATGTAGATAACTTCATAATTCTTCGGATTTAGGTAAGAGGTTATTGTAAATCGTATGAGTACGCTTGTGCAAAGTTATTGCAGAATGATTAATGTAAAACGTCAAAAGGTAGGTAATTTTTAGAATTGGTTGACTATAAGCATTTTATTTATTTTTGATTGCTATAATTTCCTTTTGTTGTTTGCTATTAATGTTAAAGTTTTATCATTCTTTGTCAGTTTCCAGTGTTAAACACAGTGCCTAGCATGCAACATCTATGTGTTCAATGACTGGATATAGTATTATTATTTATTACTATATTTGTAAATAACTTCTCTAAATGTGCAAAATAAAGTTTGGTTAAGGCATATTTAGTGTTAAAAATACTCTTGCTCAAGCATGTAGATTTAAAAATGTGCCAGTACTTATCTTTAATATAACTAAAACTGTGCTATGGCTAGCGACTTACGTCTATAGTTTATATTCGAAGAGAAATTTTACACTTTGAAATATAATGATAACACCTACTCCTTCGTTTTTAGTTTTTTAAATAATAACAATAAAATTGAAAGATTTTTTACATAATAATAATAAAAATAAAAGTCTTTATTTGTCTCAAAAAATTACAAATTCATCAGCATAAATAAATCTTATTATGTTAGTTGCAAACAAAATGGTCTATGGCTCAGTGAATGTAGGAGATCCACAGACCCTGGTATTCTGCCATAGCCTAAATATTCATGCATGGTATGGTATGGCTTTTATATAGCAAAATAAAACCTTAATGTATATGAAGTTTTTGAAAGGACCTTTTATTAAACAAACTTGTAGTCATAAAGGATAATTTTATATCAATCTTGTTGTGTATGTTGCCCTACTGCCATTTCAACTAATCTAACAGATTCAAAACAAATACGACATTATATTAGTAAATTTTACTTGGTTTGTAATACATGAGTATCCAAGTGCTTTATTGCTGAAATGTAATACCATTGCTACTCCACTATTTATTAATTTTGTTATTCATGCCATTTAAAAACATATAATATTGTTACAACTATTTGGTAATGTTGCTGCTCTTTGATATAACTATTTACAAAAAAAGAGGATTATTACCATATCAATAACATGTCAATAGCTTTACCCGTTGCTTGAATAATGACCCTGAAATGCATGATGAATGTTTCAGTGTTATGATTCTTACTACTACTGTTATATTGGTTACAATAGAATATTTTTGTAGATTAGATATATCATGTGTTTAACTAAAACTGGTTTGTAAGTGGCTATATTCTACTAATTTCTATTTAGCCAGCTCTTTGAAGTTGCATGATGATCCCAGGTACCTTATGTTGTTTGTCACTAGAAATTTCTAAACTGACAAAAGTAACTTCTTAATTAACTAATTAACTTAATTAAATTGGATAGTTAAACCACACTTATAGGGACCTACACTTATATAGGACATATTGATTAGTACTAAAACGAGAAATATTTTAGATACATATATATTATACCTCCCCATCTACTGATCCTCGCTTATACATTAGCAGATCTACCTGCCTGGCACGCCTGGCACACCTGGCATGTCTAACAGGTCTGACAGGAAGATCTGTCGGGTAAATATGAAATAGTAAGACTACCTTTTGGTACTGCATTACTGTGGCCGCAAGTGTTAACTTAGTATGCGATACATAGTCATGTAACGAAGTCTAAGTATTGAATTCGTTAGGTACATTGGACACAAGGACCAAACGTTTTTGTCTATCTCATGCTCTATCAGAAGTGTCAGATAGAAACTTAAAATTATCCAAATATTTTGCATGTTGTTTTTGGTTTAGTGTTTTTTTGGTATAGATGAATGATAAAAATAATTATTTTCGTCTGATATAATTTTTCCCCTACGTTCAAACACATTTAATAACATTCTAGATACATGATATACATCTAAATGTTACACGTACTGCATGTAACATTTAGATGTATATCATGTACTACATGTAACATCTAAATATATCATATACTGCATGTAACATTCTAGATATATCAGATACTTTCGATATAATAACTCTTTCTACTATGTCATAGTGCCTTATAGCATATTAATGGCGAAAATGGCATTTAGTTTCAAGATTTTACAAAATAGTGCCAATTAGTTTTATTTATTTTATTTATATTTTAAGTAGATTTTAGTTGTTCCATAGTTATCCATATTAAGTAACTTTCCAACTGTCAGAAGGTAAACATTTTATATATTGCTTACTTAATTTTTATTCCATACTTATGCTCGCTGAGAAATGTATCCGCAATTAGGTTAAACAACTATCATATATAGTTGTTAAGTTCTTATATGTTTGTTATCAGTGCTAATTATGTTGCTAGTCAAGTTTCAAATATTTTATTCTATAACGCCAGGCATCATGAAGTTATATTCGTAATTTATTATATGTTTATTAAATAAATTACTTTTAATGGGAGTTAAGCCATAAATAGATGCTCTATTTGTAATTGCTCTGATATGTTTAAAAAACTCTTTGTGTATAAAACCACTTAAATGGCCGGTTTAACATGGTCGTTGTACTGTATAGATTGTAATCTTGTAACAGTTACACAATTTCAATGTATACTCATATACATGACAAATGTTGCTACAAGCCTATACTAATATAATATATACTTTCGGTTTCTTTTAATTCCTCTGAGATACATTTTTTGACGTGTGGGAGCGACATAAGAGAAATCAACCTATTTCAAACTGTCCGTGCTGTAAGAGGCGACTTTGGGAAGCAGAAACAGGAGATGGCCAGCAGCATTTTAATACCTGTTACCAAGTCAATAATAATAAAACGGTGGTTGTCCTCTAAGCGCGGAAAATATGGCAAATATCGTCGAAATGAGGGACTATATTATTTTTTATAAAAAGGTGACAAACACAGTCTTCCTAATAGTATGTATCCATTCATGCTGTTGCCATAGACACCTACATCTATCCTCAATTAAGAATCAACCGTTGTCACCTTTGAGGACAGATATATTGCCTCATCACTAGCATGCCTTTTAAGTTTTGTCGTTTACATATTTGCCGGCAATTTTGAATTTGGAATCTCAAAACAATTGAAAGTATGAGGATTAATGCTATTGTTTAGTCAGAGTCTTATTGAATCTGTCAGGTTATGTATGAAAATGCATCTTACTAAGGAAAATATCCGTGCAATAATTTTTTACAACTTTCGAAGAGGTTTAACACGCCTTCAGTGTTTCCAAGAGCTAACTTTTGTGTTCCATGATGAAGTCACTTGTCTGAGAACTGTCGAACGCTGGTATTAGGATTTCAGCGAGGACATACCAATCTCAGTGACAAATATCGTTGCTGTGAGAATCGCCGTGAATTCTCGAAGATCGCCATGTGACATGTTATAGGCGTTATTAGGCATCTCAGGGACAACCATTCAGATCTTGCATGAAGCGCTTGGTGTGAGGAAGTTAATTTGCCGTTGGATCCCGCATTTGCTTTCCGACGGCCACCCGCGCTAGATGGTGTAAGTAAACTCTTCAAAAGGTTCAACCGAGGAGAGTCAAATCACGTCTAA